GCTGTGTTGGATGGGAAGGGGATGGTGGTGAGTTGGCAGTTGGTGGTGCCTCTTGTGGCATGTGTTGCTCAGATCTTTCCTCTCTTTCCAGCACAGACCAGGTGAAAGGTGTGCTGACACTGCAGGGAGACGCCCTGTGTCAAGCTGTGAGTACCTGCTGTGCTTCTTGCTTTGTACTACAAGGGATGGGTGTTGTCCTTGTTACTACCCTTTGATCACTTCAGGGAGGAGGTCTGTCTGGTGATGTATTACAGTGAGCAGTGTTTTCTTTGTCGGTCTTCCCTAATAGGCCTTAAATACTAGATGTTTCTGCAGCTGTTAAAATTTGTTAAGATCCAGCATCTGCTACCCCCCACTCCCCCACCACGATGTGGTGAGTGCTGGAGTCAACTTCCCTGGGGATTCCTTGCCTTTGCCACCTTCATTGTGTAATACCAACTTTCCTTGGGGGCCTTCTGAGCTGAGGTCGTGTCCTGCTTGGGTCCCGATTCACTCAGTGCTTTTCTTTGCATTAACATCTTCCTGTGGGAGCACTGAGGTTCTGGCTGTGCCAGGATGGTCTGGGAGAGTGGAGTGGGACTGGCAGTCCCCATGGCAGCATACAGGCATTTCTTGCTCTCACATGTTTGCTTCTTTCTTCAAGGACGTGAATCTGAAAATGCCCCGAAACAATCAGCTCCTGCACTTTGCATTCCGGGAAGACAAGCAGTGGAAATTGCAGCAGGTACTGTTGGCTCTAGATGTGCACTCCTAGGTAATGTCTGTGCCCTCTGAGCACTTGCTGTAGCCCTTTGAGAGAGGCTGTTCCCAGCTCCCACATGAGCTCCAGCAGCAAAAGCTAAGGGAGAATGCTCAGAGAAGCATAGCATTAACCTTTGAGAAGACACCATTTTCTTAAGGCCAGTGAAATATTCAGGGAAACCTTTACTTCCCATCATGGATTATAGAGTGTTTCTTTAACAGAGCTGCATTTGTACCTTTGCAGATCCAGGATGCCAGAAACCATGTGAACCAAGCCATTTACCTGCTTATGAACAGAGATGTGAACTACCAGTTCAAATCAGGCTCCGAGGTGCTCAAGGTGAGGAGAAAGCACTTGCTGCTTGGGTAGGAACATGCGTTTTTCTTCCCTCCATGTGTTGTTTTAAACACAGGTAATGCACATTGCTGTCTGAGTTACTGGAAATGGACTCCTCAGTTGTACCTGTGTGTGCCTGTGTCAAGGAGGATCCATGGGACCTCATATGTGATAGGAGTCTGTACCAGTTTAGCATCAGTAACAGGGTGTATATCCTGGTGAACAGTAACTGAGGAGTCAGTGCCCTGTTGCACAGCAGTGATAATCTGGGAACATCTTCCTTGGTCTTCTGTGGATGATGTGGTTACACAGCTCATGCTCTTCTCTGTCGGTGTGGCTGGTGAAAGCAGCAGTGAGACAGCCCTCAGCAAACAGAAGATGACACCACTTGTGCTTTGGTGATGACTTGAAAGTGATTTTTCACTTGCCAGTAGTAGTTTCTGGGGTCTGATCCAGAGCAGCTGCTGTGTGCAGTGAAGCCCAACCCTCTGCTTGGAAACTCTCTCTGAAGGCAGTAGAGTTTCTGCTCACTCATTAGAATCCATCACAACATCAAACATGAGTAAACTAAACCTTTTTGTTTCTGCATGGACAAGGACTGCTCCTAGGAAGAAGCTCAGTAGTAAAACTATTTCCTTCTTACTTTGGGGTGGAAGTAGGGAGAGAAATTAGTCATCATATAAAATGCCTTGATCTTAGCAGTAATGAGCTCTGTAACCGATACATGTTGCTTCCTCCTTTTATTTCAGAAAAAGGAAGTCTGCCTGAATAGAGCCTTTGAACCATGGTTTCTGGCAGGATTGGGCTCACAATGAGCTTGTTTCTTTTTTCCATTGCCTTTGCTTGTAGCTGGTTATGAACAGAGTGAGCCCATTCAGCAGTTGTACCCATGGTGTGGGAATGGGGAGAAGGAGAATGCAGTGTTTTTTCTTAGTGTCTGCTGTTCTTAAGAGCATCCCCCTGTACTCTGCACTGGTGAAGTCACACCTCAGTGCTGTGGTCAGTTTTGGGCCCCTCACTTTAAAAGGGGCATTGAGGCACTGGAGCAAATCCAGCCAAGGGAAGCTTATGAAAGGTGTAGAACACATGTCATATGAGGAAGGACTGAGGGAGTTGGGTTCGTTTAGCCTTGAGAAGAGGCTCAGGGATGACCTCATGGCTCTCTACAGCTACCTGAAAGGGGGTTGGAGGGAGGTGGGGGATGTCTCTCCTGCCATGGCTGCAGAGAGAGGGCTAGAGGGAATGGCCTTGAGCTGAGACAAGGGAGAGTCAGAGTAGGTATTAGGAAAATTGTTGTCCTTGTTAGGGTGTTCGGGCACTGGAATAGGTTTGCCCAGGGAGGTGGTGGAGTCACCGTCCCTGGAAGTGTTTAAGAGACATCTGGATCTGCTGCTGGAGGTTATGGTTTAGGGGTTACAGCAGTGACAGGTTAATGGTTGGACTTGATGATCTCAGAGGTCTCTTCCAACCTTGATGATTCTATGAGTTCGTCAATGTTTCTGTGGCATCAGTAATTGATCTCATGTTCTCTTGGTATTCTTGGTAATGAATAACTGTTCTCTCCTCAGTCCCTGGTATTGAACACTCCAGGGCTGTCTCACAAGTGTCTGACAGTGGTGGCAGTTAAACTGCATTTATGTGGGAGCCTCTGCTTCCTAATAAGTCCCTGAATTCCTGGAAGGGAGTGGGGGCAGTGGTGGTTGCTGTAACACTTGCACAAGGTTGTAGGACTGCAGCACACTGCTCAGAGCTGTCCAGGGAGCACACTCAGCAGTGCTCTGTACATTCTCTTGTAGCTTATGGATGCTGTGATGCTGCAGCTCTCCAGAGCCCGAAATCGCCTGACCACTCCAGCCACTCTGACACTACCAGAAATTGCCTCCAGTGGTCTCACAGTAAGTATATGGTGGTCTCCATCTCCATACAGTGTGGCAGCATGGAACAGTTCAGATATTGGGCTGCATCCTGGTGGAAATGGGTTTCCAAAGTGTTTCCTGAGGGCAGAGCTGAAGCAAGAGCAAACTGAGTGGTTTTGGTCTCTGTATCTTCCTGTGGGAATGCACATGACTTAGGCATGAGGACTCTTTTTCTCAGAGACTTAAGTTCTTTTCTCTGCCCAAGAGTCTTGTCCAGGGATAATTTGCCCTTGTGACACTGCCCCATCCTCTCTTGTTACTGTTGTGCACACACCATTTGATAAAGGGCAGCAAGAGGAAAAATCATTGCCTGCAGCTGCTCAGTCTTTGTTTTTCTCCTACTGTTTCTCTTGCCATGGGGTAATTGTAGTGTGGCTTAGGAAAAGGGAGTGATTTCCCAGCATTAGAAATGATGATCCTTTCACTGACATAGAACTACTTATTTTCTCACCAGAAAATGTTCACCCCTGTGCTGCCTCCAGACATCCTTGTGAATTTCTACATTAACCTGAACAAGCTGTGCCTCACTGTCTACCAGCTCCACGTGCTGCAGCCCAGCACAACCAAGGTGATGCCTGATGTCTCCTGTTGTTTAGTTCCCTCTCCCTGCATTCCACAGCAAGGATATGGTGCTACCTGGTGGATAAGATAATGCAGAAATGACTGTAGCTGGTGCTGAGTGTCTGTGTTTAGGTCTGCTCTGAATCTATTTTGAGGCATGGCTACTTAGCCTAGAAGAATATATCAGTACTCTGGGGACAGCCAGTAACTATTTTGTGCCAAATACTTACAATATATTTTGATAATTTTGCATAATTTTGGAAGGGCATAATTATATTAATCCAGTTTACATCAAAGTAGCAACTTGAGTTTCTTGAATGGAGTTTTGATGGATATTCTTCTGCTTCACCTGTTGCATTTGGGTCAGCTTGGTGCCCTGTAAAAACAACATTAAACTCTGAAGATTTATGACATACTGTCTTTCCATAAGGAAGATTTTCCTAAAAAATCTGTATTTTTACTTCTGGATCTTCTCATCTTATTTTTGTAGTGCTAAAATTTGGAGCTAAATTGAACTTAGCCTTTTTGTAGAATTTTATTTATGAAGGAGCAGGAAGGGATCTAATGACTTGGATTCCCTGTGGATGGAGTGTTCAGGCAGTAGTGTGGGTGTTCCTTGATGTCAGGCTAACTGAAAGCACAAACCTCAAAGGTCTTTCTTCTAACTGATTTGTTTACTGCATCAAAATCTAATGACCTTGTTCTTCTCTAGAATTTCAAGCCTGCTGGAGGGTCCATTTTGCACAACCCTGGGGCCATGTTGTAAGTACAGTCACTACAGGGGTACTGTACCTGGGTAACAGGTGTAGGTGTGTGCTGAGGGTGAGATCCAGACAGCTGTGTGCAGTTGTCATTGTGGCATCTGTGGGGAATCCAGGCTGAGCCACTTGCTGTGGCTGTGCCTGTGAATGCTTTGCTGTGACTCTTTAATGACCTGGCCATAAAGGCCCAAATACATGAATCTCCAGGATCCAGCCCTTCCATACAGTACTATGACCTTACCTAGTGATGAGAGTTGTCAGCCAAAAGGACTGTTTGGGTATTGGCATTGCCATCTGCATTTCCTGCCTCTGTGCCCCTCTGGAATGCAGTGAAGTTTCTACCTTTGCCCTTCAGCTTAACTCTAAATCTGGTCAAAGGTGGACTGATCATTTGCATTCTGTAACTCTGCCAGGTGCTGATGAAATGTGGTAGAAATAATCATGATCTCTCCTGTGGGAATGGAGGACAGTTGAGTTGTTCTGTGCTGCTGTGTGTGAAGCTGTGCTCTTCTTCCTCCCTGCAGTGAGTTTGGCAACCAGCGATACGAAGTCAGCCATGTCCATAAAGTGGAATGTGTTGTCCCATGGTTAAATGATGCCCTTGTCTTCTTCACAGTTTCACTGCAGCTTTGCCAGCAACTGAAGGACAAGGTAATGGCCTCGGAGAAGGGACCTCAGATCTGATGTGATGTTATTCTATACAACTTGCATATAAACTGAAAACAAGGACTCAGTCAGTGCTGTGGAGCCAGGGAGCTGCCTGGCACTGCCTAGCAGCAGCCATAGGATAAGTATAGTGGTGTGGCAGATGTCTGCTGAGCTAGTGACTAGATGGAGAGGAGCAGGTAAACACTTCTGTGTTCTCAGTCATGAGTGGGTGAGAGGAAACACCAGCGTGCTAGGAGCATAGAGACCTCAGCAACCTAATTCCAGTAGATCAGTGCTCAGTTCCAGCTCTGAAGCTGTCCTGGCTGCCACCTTGAGCAAATAATTTTGTGCTCCAAGCCCCTTCAGTGACAGCAGCAGCAATCCTGCCCTTCTGCAGTGCAGTGCTGGAGTGTGTAATGCTGTGAAGCTCAGTCCTCCCTCATGCATTATGTGCTCTTTCTTCTGTGGCCCAAGGGGTACAGTAACTCATCTGCTTTTCTTCTTGCTTTCCAGATCTCCGTTTTCTCCAGTTACTGGAACTACAGGCCATATTAATTCTCTGTGGAATGGTCCAAGCCCTTACAGTACTTGCAGTGTCTCTCTCTGTTTTCTCATGCCAGCTGAGTCCAGGTCAGCCTGAGGAGTCCTGGGGTTCACTGGCAGGTGCCCTCCACAGGGCAGGGTCAGTGTACCCAGAGACACAGCTTTAGTAGCCTTGTCTGGGACTGTTGCACAAAGCAGGGCACCAAGCAGTGCTGGGTGGTTGGCAGGAGCTTCCACTTCTCCCTGTCCTCGTGTGCTTTGTGTGGCTCACACTTCCCAAGCCCCTGATGACTTACACTGCTCTGTTGAAAGGGACTGGGGCTCTGGACTACCCTCTCTCTTCCCAAGCCCCTGATGACTTACACTGTTCTGTTGAAAGGGATTGGGGCTCTGGACTACCCTCTCTAACTGGATTTGCACTGTAACTAACTGCTGGACTGTGAGGTGACTGGGAAAAGGGAAAGGCTGATTTAACACACCCCATAGAAGGTAGGGCATGTTGCTCTGTGTAGTGAAATACATTGCTGGGGTCTGGTCCAGCTGTGGTTATGACTAACCTGGAGCAACTCCCTCTCCTGCCTGCTCTGTCCATGCCCAGGTTCCTGATTCCCCTTTGGGAATGCTTGCTCTTCCTCTTGCTGCTCTTTGAACTTATTGGAGGTTTTTTTCCCCTGGCATCAATGTGATAATTTATTTTCCTAAGCCCTAGTTGGGCCAATTGGTCTTTTCCAGGTTTAGTATCTTGTTTTCACTGTCAGCCTTTGGAGTTGCCTTGGTACCCTGAGCACAGCTGTGCAGTCTCTCATCCTGTCATTAAACCCAAAGTGAGTACTACATTGTTACTACAGTTTGCTGCCTGTGGATGCTACAGTGTGTGACTCATCCCTTTAGCCATTGATAACTGTGAAATAAAGACCCTCAGGCCTGCAGT